AAATTTTTCGGCAGCGGCGGCGCGTAAAATGCATCGGCGTATGGCGGCGCGGCGGCGTGAGATCGGCGGCGTCGACCTCTATTACGGTAGTATACAAATTTCGAATGTTAAGAGTTTTCCCGAAAAACCGTTTCTATAATTTTATGTAAAATCGTTCAAATTTTATGTAAATTCGTTTTTAAATAATTTTGAACAAAAATGTGCTTTCATTTTTGAAATTGCGTTAAAAATTCAAAATTAACAGCTTTTTGAAAAATCCAGATTTACCTTAAAATGTATTAATAAATTTTGTCACAACCGAAAATACGAATATTCAGGAAAGAATTCAGTCTATTCAGTTAAGTTTCCTTCCTCCGCCTGTGCGATTTTGCACAGGCGGAGGAAGGAAACTTAACTTCCATTTTCTTCCACTGCTAAAAATCGCCCCTTTTTCTACTTTGACCTCAAACATTTTGACAAATTCCAACCACCGCACGAACCGCCTCAAAAAACGTTGGTTGTATTGACTTGGACATCATAATTCCAAAATTTCAACCAACTCCGAGGGTTACACTTCACACCATCGAATTGTTAAATGTGTATACATAATTGAATTTTCTCCGTCCTGACGTTTTCAAAAATATGGCTGAGTTAAAACCGCAAGTAAATGTTCACTATTTTCCAATGGAACTGGGAAAATAGTGTACTCTAAATACTCGTAGAATATTACCTATTTCGTTCCAGAATAATCTATATAATAGTATATAATAGTATTCTGGAGCGAAAACGATTACATAATATCGAAGATATTGAACCCATGAACAGGGCCCGGCACTGAAGCTCATACCAGGCCTGACAATTTCATGGTACGGCTCCGCGAATTCGTACATTGTGTGAATCCTTGTAATTGTTAGATTCGCTGGAAATGGAGAGAGGAATGTTATTCGTGGAAGGTACGTTATCTATCGACACCACGCACCCACGCAGCGATTTTGGAAGGTGCCCTTCATCAAAGGAAGAAACTCTTAAAAACCCATTTGATCCAGCTGGAATTGTGCTTGTTGTAAGTGAAGGACTTCGTGATGGGAGACCAACGTTTCGTCTAGAAAGAAAGGGGAGACTTGTGGAGCTCAATCTTTCGGATTGTTTCAATTTGATTGAAAAAATACTACTTGGAAGACTACGTTCAGTTGAAGGACTTGATCAGCTGTTTAAGCTGATGAACGACAAATTTCCAACAAAAGTTTCGAAATTGTTGTTTGAAGAAGCTGAGGCTAACAAATTTGAAGAAAAGAAAGCAAGTAACACAGAATACGTCGTGTGGCTCAGTCGTTTTGACCACATGGACTATGTGTACGTGAAGTGTGCAAATTCCGTTGTGAACTTTAACAGTTTACTGTGTATTGAAACTCTAAAGAAGATTGTGGAAATTTGTTTCACAACGTTGGAGAAGGACGTCGGGTGTTACATTGACTTCTTTTCGAAATTTGCAAGATTGCTATCAAACGTTGCTACCTATTTTCCCTTGATTGAACAACTGGCATCATACAAGGAACTGGAGATAAAGATCTACCACAGCTTGGGACAAAACGAATATCGTGACAAGGCTCCCCCAATATTTTACATGGTCAACGATTGGATCATGTCGCTTTCTCTAACTCCACGAGTTAAAAAGAAGAAGGAAACGGAAGGACTTGCTTATCCATGGGGGCAAACAATTTTACGTGCTACAGATCAACAAGGACAAGAATGGCTAAAGTACCTCGTGAAAGAGCCATTTTCACTTTTCGGCGTCGCATTTGATGAAATGTTGTAATTGTTTCATTTATTTTCTGTTTTTGAATAAAAATCAATTTGAATTGTATTTTGCATTTCGTTTTAACAAATTATTTTACGTGGCGGTCATTACTACATCTCTCATCATTACTTCATACATCTCTCATCATTGCTCATTCTTCATTTGACTCTCATGATGGTTAGTGCTGCAAAATCATTATTTTGTCATCCATTAGTCTTCATTTTTGGTGTCATAACATATATCTGGTTGACGATATATATGTGCGCGTTTGTCTTATATACACATTTGTTCATACAGTGCTTACAACAGCAGAGGAATATTTCATTGTGCAACGCGACGTTTTTATACAACGAAACGTTTTTCTAAGGTGAGGTAAAAAACTATGGTTACATTTACACCTTAGTATGCATTCACCCCCCCCCTTCGAAAACCTTGACCGCCTCCTACAGCCAAGGGGGTGCGTTTTAGAGAAAAAAATAAAGAGACCGAAAAATCAATTACGGACATAATCTAGTGCTATTGAAAGGGATTTTTCGATATGAGGTCCCAAAAAAAGTTTTGATGGTGGTGAATGGTTGCGTTTTGCAATTTAAGTATGAAGGAGACTACCTACATAGCTGGGTATCTAAATTTCTGAAAGATCGCCCCCACTTTACTATAAGGGAAAACAAGAATTGGGTCGATTAGTTGAGAAACCAGCGACTTTTCCCTATAACGAAAATTTCCGAGTGGTTGCTATATAGTAACCATATAATTACACCCTGGCTATGGAGTAATTCATAGTCTTAGCCAGATCCAGGACTTGTTGGACCGTAATGTCGGTCCGTGAACACGATTGACTTGCAATTTTACCATATTGGACAAAGTGAAGAAAAATTTTCGAAGGTGGGAGAAATGGTTGAAATGGTTGACCCGAGTTGGTCATCTAAGTGGGTGGGGTGCTATGCACCAGACTTCAAAATTGTCCTAGAAAGCTGAAATTTGGCATACAGATTGTTACTGACTTTTAATGGAAGAATATCAATTCAGATTGGAAAAATTTTCATCTGGAGGGACCCTATGGGGAAACCCATACTGATTTTTCAAAATCATCAAATTGAGTTGTAATTTGGTACAGCAATTTCTAGTCGCACCTAATGGAAGAATATGAACTGGAATTGGGAACATTTGTATGTGGAGGGACCCTTTGAAGTCACCCACACCTTTTAGAAATTGTCACCAATGGTCTTATATATAGCGTTACATAAGTCGAAGAGCAAATTTGAGTGGGTTAGGCATATCAAAACTTGATATCTTTCAACTGACATTTTTATAACGTATGCTGTAAATTTGAACAAATTAAATTGGCTGCGATATCCGCAAGACTAAGGGTGTAACTGTTGCTACGTACAATAATGGTTATGTTTTATATTTGCCTTTAAAGTTAAAACCTAAAAAAGAATTAAATAAAATATAGCTTGAAAAAGTAAAAAGTTCTAAGGTGAGGAGGTGAACTTAAAAGTATTAAACAAGCTCCCTCCGCCACCCAGATAATTTTACTTCGCCTGGGCTGTCTATTGCATTCTAAAATATCCACTTTCTATGATTGCATGCATAGACAATAATATTTCGGCGTCACGTAAGAAAATAAAGATCAGATTTAATTTCTTGGTCCAAAGTTAACTTTTGAATTGGTCAATATCCAAATCAACAGTGCTGGGTTGTAAGAATATTAGCAATTATGATAATTTGGTGGTAATTATTACATATGGGTCATCCGTCCCTAAATATTTATTAATTAATTGTATAACTAGTTCCACATCGTGCTCGTTGTACATTCAAGTTAGAATGTATGAACTGATCAACCGATATATTTTTAACCTATACAATAACAAGACAACCTTTGTTTTTAGATTTATTGGGTGACTATTTGAGCGACTTATTTACAACAGATATTTTAGCATGCAGTAGACAGCCCAGGTGAAGTAAAATTATCTGGGTGGCGGAGGGAGCTTGTTTAATACTTTTAAGTTCATCTCCTCACCTTAGAACTTTTTACTTTTTCAAGCTATATTTTATTAAAATGTTAGTTGACGTTGTCAGTCAGTAAACATCTCAAAATGGATTCACTCGCCCCATCCCAACATCCTAAAAAGGATTCACGTAAAACTGTTGGAAACCCGATAAAAAAACGAAAACCTAAAAAAGTGGTAACGAAAAAACCGAAATTAGTGCAACAAGCTATTGAGGATTGTTTGGGGAAACTGAAATTCGCTGAAAAACCTCAGATTGAAATTGCTCCTGGAAGGGGGGCTGCAATTATACCTGAAAAACGGACGTTACGTTTTGGATATAAACGAACAGCCAACGTCCATGCCAAAAATAAGTTTTGTGCTTATGAACGATACTGGCCGCATTGAATTTGATAAAAGTCAGTTATTGCATTTGTCAATCAATGTACTAAAAGCTGCCATGTTGGACCCAGAACTGGATATCACAGAATACAAAGTAGCTGTAGAGAAGATTTTGAGGGGAGGAAAGTATCAGCTAATGAGTCATCAAACAATGGTGCAACGTTTTGATTCCAATCGTACAGCACCATTAGACGGAGCTGAAAGCGGGCTAAAAAATATGTACAAGATGTACATTCGACGTTTCCAGAAACCACCCACTGTGAAGATGGCCAAATATAAGAAAGGGCAGAAACAAGAGGAGGCTTAGTCTTGCTTCGTTGTTCACACTGACAACATGGAGCCTGCTCCGAAAAAGATAAAAACTGGAAGAATTTTTGACAGAGACATGATCAAACTTGACGCTAGAATAAAATCCTACGAAAAAGTGCCTCGTCTAACACACACACCAAAAGAATTTGCTGAAGCTGGTTTTTATTACGATTCGAATTCAAGTGTCTGTTTTTATTGCGGACTTCAAGTTAGTGAGTGGAATCCTGAAGCCAATCCTTGGTTTGAGCACGCTTTACGTCAAAAAGAAATTTGTGAATTTTTAGAGCAAAGGAAAAGTGAAATGAAAATTCAAATCAGTGAATCTCGTATAACTCTTTCGACTAACCGCACGGATTCCCTGTGTACAGTTTGTAAAATCAACGAAGCAAATTACGTGAACTTACCCTGTAGTCATTTGACTACTTGTCAACAGTGTTTAAGGAAGCAGGGACAATTTAAATGTTGTCATATTTGTGACCAGTATATTGGTTGTTATCTTCATGTGTTTGTATAAAGACATCATGGATTCTGAAGACGAAGCCCTCAACAAGGAGGCTATTAAAAAAACTTATTGGATTTATAATGAGGACATGGTGCTTCTAGAATCTAGAATAAAATCGTTTGAAGATTCGAATTTAAAAATCAAGCAAACGCCCCAACAACTAGCAGAAGCAGGTTTTTATTATATGGGATTAGAAGATCAATGTGTGTGTTTTCATTGCGGACTTGGTGTTGAAGAATGGGAGCCAGAAGACGATCCATGGTTCGAACACGCTTTTCATACTCCTCATTGTGCATTTTTAAACTTGAAGAAAAGTGAATTGAAATTTCAAATCGGAGAAAAGGAACAAGTGTTGCCTCTTGAAGCCATGAATCAAGCAGAACCATTGGATATTTATCTATGTAAAATTTGTCAAGTTAACGTAGCAAATCACGTGAACATGACGTGTGAACATTTGGTCGGCTGTTTAGAATGTACAACTACACAAGATGAATGTGCCATTTGTCGTTCGGATATAGATGGATTTGTAAAAATTGTAGTATAAGAAACGTTTTTATATATATAATGTGAAACGTTTTGTGACCAAGTTATCTATAAACGTGAAATCGTTTTGTGTCCGAGTATAAAAAGCAGCAGCAGTGCTCCTCATTTTTCAGTCTTTTACCAGCAACGGCATGGAGAACATCAACGGACAAATATTACCTTGCAATACAGGTGTGCTCGAGTCTTTTGTGAAGAGTGACGCTTTCAAAGATTCGCCCTTTGGCCCTGTTCACTTCCTCGTTGATCGTGTTGTTATAAGAAACAGTCTTGGACAAGTTGAAATTGAAAAGGAGAAAGTTTTACACTTGGCTCTAAATTTACTGGCAATTGCTCGTGATACGCCAACGCTTCAAGACCATCTTGGTTATTTAGTGAGTGTCAAAGTTTAGTGGAAGACCACAACAATTTCAAAATCAAGAAAGGTGTCTACGCCAACAAACTAGACTTGCCGCAACAATATTGCCCAAACAATTTAAAAAAATTTGGAGAAATAATTTTGCAAGATTTTGTGCTTGGTGTAGACGCATAATAAGACGTTAAAATTACAAATTTACAATTTTTTATTCGAATTTTTTGTATAAATTTTTTTGTATAAACTATAATTACAATTTATTTGAATAAGATTACAATAATTTATTTGTATAAACTATAATTACAATTTATTTGAATAAGATTACAATAATTTATTTGTATAAACTATAATTACAATTTATTTGAATAAGATTACAATAATTTATTTGTATAAACTATAATTTATTTGTATAGACTATAATTACAATAATTTATTTGTATAGACTATAATTACACAATTTATTTATATAAACTATAATTACATATTTTATTTGATTTTACTTGTTTGTATAAACTATACAATTTTCTGGAAATAAACTAGATCTTATCCTAAACTTATCATCCTGTGTCTGGCTCAAGTCTATTACTAAATATCCATACGGTATTTTCATAACATCAGTTAGAGCATATTGCACAATTGGATGATTTCGTCCTCCATTCATTTGTCGACCTAATTTGCTAACAAAAGTTGTATCTCTAGGGTTTTTCATCGATACGATATATTTTAAATTCAGAGTAATACTCCTAGTTTTTCCCTTTTCAAAAAAATTTTGAGTTAAAAAAATTATTGACACATTATTGTGATGGGAATAAATACTAAAGGCTTTCACCATTTCATCTGAACGAGAAATTTCAGTCATCAAATCATCTAAAACTAAAATAAGAGGCTCTCCATCATCACTAATTACACTGGGCAGTCCTTTTTCAAATTCAATATGCGGTATATCCTCTCGAATCTGCTCAAACAACTCCGGCTGATATTCTTGATAACAATATTTCACATTATTTACTGGCGGATCCAATAGCTCCATGCGACGAGAGAGTAGTTTTTCAGTCAAAGTACTTTTTGCTGATTGAGTTCCCCCCGCAATCGCCATAGTGAAAGGCGTTTTTAGCGTAATGTCAATGTCCCCCTGTGAGCAAGCGTAGTCAAATGATCAATGACGCAACGTTTTGTGTCAAAGCCATTAAGACCCTTTTTTATGGCTGAGGTTGTTCAAAGAACATGTTTGCGGCTTAGAATTGATTTAATCACCACACTTGTCCGAATATTTACATACAAAACCTTCCAATATTGGTCAAATGTTATTTGATTGGTGATTGCAGCTTTCTCGATCCCCTTGGCCACTTTTTTTGTATGTATTGTCATCTTTCCATTTTCAATTGAAAGTGCTTGAGCTCCATACATTTTCGGTTTGGACGCAGCAAAGCGAAAGATTACACTTTTTGGCATTTCGTCCTTCATGTTGCCGAGTCGCTTCTTGTTTTCTTGATTATTTAAATGAGAATGCATTCCAGCATAGTCACTCAAATCAAAACGTTCCTTGTTATCCACCATGTCTTGATAAAAATCATGAGTTTCTACGTGATAGACAAACGAATCCGTGAATCCGTGCAATGCATGGTCACATCCACATAGTCCAATTTCGCTTTGCCCATCTTACAACAAGCGTCATACGCAATCATTGGCAAACTAAAATAGTGAGCCAAATCCAAGTTGTAAGAGTCCCATAAGATTTCTCTGCTTCTTTCCATACAATCAGCTAGCAATGTTACGTCGAGAAGTACGTAAAGATTATGCCAATCACCAAGATTTTGCACGTTGAAACTCTCCCAGACTTGTTTAACATGATCATATACTTTCTGATCAAGTGGTTGGTCATTAAGATCATTGTAAAACTCCTTGATTGGGGGCAGTTGAGTCTCCTCAAAATTCGCAGGCTATTGCATATGTGTATATGGGTAGGCACCCTTCTGTAGCAGCAAATCTACATTGATTTGCTGTGCCAAATCTTCAATTTCTTGATCAGTTCCTCCACGCTTGTACAGTTTCAATATATTTTCAGCTTTGCCGAAAATCTCTTTGGTAAGCTTGAAATCGTCGGTGTTGTTTTTCTTTAATGTATTTGTAAGATTTTCTAACGAAGAACTCAGGAATGAAAACGAATCACAAAATCTAATTTGATTTCTCACTGTAAATGACATAAATTTTTCTGAAGAACACGGTATTATTGTTGCGTTCATCGACTCGTCGAATGCTTGCACAAGGAAGTGGGAATCATAAGACTTGAGATTGTGAGTAAAACATGGAGATATCTTGCCCATTGAAGCTTCTAAGTTGCAACGGTTATGAGCAAGACCGAGGAACTTACCGGAACAGTGATCATGAAGAAAAACAGCCATGTTGGGTCTGTTTTTAAATAGTTTAGACATTTCTTGTTGGCTTAGTCTCCTAAACTTTTCTCCACAAAAGTAACATGGGTCAAGTTGAGTTGGATCCTCGCGGATTTGCTTCTTAAGCATATCTCTCAGTTGAGGGTTAATAATCATAGATTTTGAGCTTTGTTGCTGGAGTAATTCACTGACGTTTTGTCGAAGCTTCTGGTCTTGTAGTATATCATCAAAAAATATCTTTGCAACATTTTCTTCTTCATCATCAGTTCGATAAACACTCCAATTAACTGCTTTACCTTGCCAGTCGACACAAACCAACGCATAGCCGCATGGAATATGGTCTGATTCTTCCAATTCAATTCCGTTCACATTCCGTTTGCTACTTTTGCGTTTGACGAAGGCCTCGAAGTCTGCGTAATAACGATAAGGGGTACGTACCATACGATGATACAGGTTGAAAAAGTAGAAGGGTTCTTCTGGTACATCAGTTTTTTGCAATTCATTTGGTAGCAAAATTCGCGATGGTCCATAGCTGATTCTGCCGTTGTGCAGCTGTTGAGGCAGTTACGACAAGGATGTTTGTAACATGTATCAGTGCGTAGCAAAGATGTTAATTTCCTTATGAGATTAAAATGGGAATTATTTCCATCATCTGTTTCTTCAATAACAAGAAGTAAATCAATCTCGATCAAGTTCGATTGACAGGTTCACTGGATTTGTTTAGCCTTTCTTTAAGTTCCAACTGGGCTAAATTCTGTGACATGTACAGTGGGAATAAAGAGTTTCTTATGGCACGATGAACTGACTTTGTCTGGAGGTTAGTCAAGTCGGAAAACAACTTATCACGATATTTGTCATATTCGGCTTTTGCTGCATCTTCTTCCTCATAGCCTAATACACTAATCGCAAAACCAGGATTCTGTTTTTCAAACTTTGGTAGCTGACCAAGCGTCATTGGAAAGACAATGCCGTCAAAGTTAATTTTCTTCTCTTGTAGCACTTTTTTATATTCTTCAACATTACCGTCATGTCTGTAACTATGCTTACGCCATTTCTTCTTGAATCCACACACTTCCTCATGTGCCAAACACGACCAGGTAAAACATTTGAAGTCATCTTGTCCATCTACACCACGATTGTCAATGTTAAGAAGGACACTTTTGTCTTTGAATTTCAGCAAATTGTTGTTGGGTATATAGGCCCCTGCTCTGAACGGGGCAAAGGGAGAAATGCTGAATTGAAGTTTAGAAATAAAATCCAAAACCCAGCCGCTTCCCTTGTGAATAAAATCGTTGACTCCCTCAATTAACTTGAAGGCAATACTGTGAATTGTCTCAGGAATAAAATGGCTTTGAAGAATCGTATGGGGATAAGCCTTAAAAACTGGATCTGGGTTGGTATGTTTCATTAAATCACTGTCTTGTCGTTCAATGTCATTAAAATCTACAACGTCTGCAGCTAAATACGGGCGAACAAAATGAGCTTGCATTTCAGTAGCGATTTTTACACATCTATGCTGATCCAGCTCCGTCTGCACAATAGCTTCGAGTTCGCGAACTATTAATTTGAAAACATTGGCCACGTCAGTGTACTTATGGTTGGTAGTGTCTAACTTATACACTCGAACAGTATTAAGTATAGTGTGAGAAAGCCGGAGTCGGTTATCAAATCCTTGCCCTTCTTGAGTGAAGAATAGCGGCTCAGCTGCCATTGATGCATGTTCTTTTTGATAATGTAAATCAAGAGATCCCTTGTAGGAGAAAATTTGACCACAAATATTGCACGTACCCGATTTATAATTGACTCGAGGATGTTTCCTGATGGGAGCAGGTATGCTAACAACAGGTGGTGAATCTTGAAAGTCGGCTAAAATAATTGAACAATTGCTGGGGCAATGTGATGCAGAACAAAACGTACACTTTTCACTATGTTGATGATTACAAACAGTGCAGAATTTAATGATTTGTGGATATAGTTTACACACATTTGCACAATGAAGTTCACTGAATTTTTCACAGTGGATAATATGAAACCCACCGCAAGAAATACAAAAACCTTCCCAAGGGGAGGTATCCATGTCCATCATAGTCTACAAGTGAAGCTACTTTTCAAAGTTTATCAAAGTTTTATTCGAATTTTCAACTAAGTTTTTTAGATTTTGACTTTTATTAGAATTTTTATTATTAGGAATTTATAAGTTTAAAGGTATGTTTAATAATTTTTTGTATAATAATTTTTTAGGAATTTTTAAGAATGTTTAACGATTATTTAACACGACTTTTTGTAGAAATTTTTAACGGATTTTAAAAATATAAATTGTATTAAAATATGAGACATTTTCAACACGACTTTTTAACGAATTTTTAAGTTGTAGGGCTTATTGGAATTTTTAAGTGACGTTTATTGGGATTTAAAAGAATTTTTTAAGTGACGTATATTGGGATTATGTTAAGTGGAATGTTAAACAACGTTTATATTGGTGTTAAACTCACTGAGAAAAAAGCTGCAGGTCAACTCAATGTACCTTTATGCAGGTGCACTTGCCCGTCCAAGTGAGCCAAAAGTGACCCTTTTTTTCAAGCGGACTAAAAATAACTTGTACCTTCCCAGAAGCGAAACAAAGGCTTTCCTACACTCAGTTAGGATAGGGAGCATGCATATTCATCATTGTTACTCATGTACTACCATTTTGAAATTTTGTCCCAGCGACCGTGTGTTTTCTTTCCACATGTACTCCCTTTCTAAGCAAATGGGGCGACTTAGGGATATTTTTGTAAGTGAATTTTTATGAATTTATGTTTGACAATTTTAACATTGTTTGTAAAATTTTTGTGTTCATATTTCTGTGTTTTTAAATATTTTTACAGCTTTTTGAAGCTATATCCGTTGCCGTCATCCGTCGTGGGTGGGGTCTCGTCTTCTTAAACAACTTGAAGATGGCAGTTTTTGGAGATACAAATCCCGAGTTACACTTAGACTGGGATGACTATAAACTATGGAAAGGCCTAATATGAAACTCTGAGTATGACCACACCATCGTCACCACAAAGGCTTTAAATTCTTTTGTATTGATAGAATAACCGTCAACACTATTACAAGTAGCAATCACTATTTTTTTACCAATTATGACTTTCTTATCGACGCCAAAGAAGGAGGAAAGGATTTTATTTTTATTCCTCTCACCTTTTTGACTTCTTTCTTTCGCGACTATTTGAATGATCCAACTTCTGATTGTGGTCATTTCGCTTTTCTTTTCGTTGATACAATTAAAAATTTCGTAGCATTCTTTGACCCCAACTACCATGATAAAACTCGTCACATTTATAGCGACGCTATTGCTTACGCTGCTGCTGAGATTGGGAACGTTTGGGGTCGTGAATTCTCAATTCGTGACACCACCAAACCCAGTTATTTTGTGCCTATAATGCAAAATGGGTTTCAGCTCTTTAATATTGCTGGCAAGCCGGAAGAAAGAGAATTTCATAACTATATGTTTGATTTATTCCCTTACATGCATGAGGAAAGAGGGGATTGTTCTTATGCCGTTTGTGCCAGTGCTTCCCTCTTAAAATCTGATCAGCCTATTGAGGTCAACGACATTGTAGCTTTGATACACAAAAACCGGGATAATTTGTTGTGGGGAAAACGCTTGGTCGCACGTCATATAGAAGAAGATGAGCATGGCTATTTTTTTATACAATAAATTTCCTGCATATAATGCGTCAGGTTATTTCGACTACTTGTATTATGTTCGAGAATAAGCGCTTCTGGCACACACTTAGGCTTTTTGGTTGCGACATTGATGGTATCGAGCGCAAGCGTTTCATCATCCAAACTTGCTCCTTTTACTTTACAGATATTGATCAAACAAAATTGCTGGCGAGGAACAGCGTATAATTTTCAACAGCAAAAACCAATGCTTATCACGCTTAAACCATAAGGCCTTTTATCGTGCTCGAAATGGTATCAAACCGAAGCCCATTTCTTCTCCTTTAAAATGCGATCCAAACGAAAATTTTCACCTGAAGCATGAACGTAATAAGCTTGATGCTGACTTTCTTGACTCCTACACAACACGTATAAAACTTGAGTTTGACTCTTTGACCTTGAAATAAACTTGCATTTTTTATTCACGACTGCTGCTTTTTATTGTCGTATTTTTTCGCGATTATTTTATTCTCCGTCATAATTTTTACATTTTATATTGTTCACGATTTTTCGCGATTATTTTATTCTCCGTCATAATTTTTACATTTTATATTGTTCACGATTTTTCGCGATTATTTTATTCTCCGTCATAATTTTTACATTTTATATTGTTGTGAAATAAATGTAAGGTTTCTAGTTTTGTCTAATGTAAAATGTTGTACCATATGGATTTACATGAGAATTTTTAATATTATTATTATTAGCGCCTCACCTAAGGTTACTACTTTTTTAGTATTATATGTATTTCGTCGGACTAACTCTAAAACCACGTAAGTGCATTCCCTTCTTAATTCGAAATCCACCTATGTGCAGTCAGTAGTTAATTCTAAATCCACCTAAGTGCAGTCAATAGTTAATTCTAAATCCACCTAAGTGCACAAGAAAAACGGGGAAAAAGACCTAACTGCAATTCCAAAATTATACAGAGTTTTTATTAATTATGCAAATCATACTATGAGCTGTAATATGAAAGTTTTTGGCAGATGAGGCTAGTGATGCCAAAACGTTCGAAATTTAAAAACCACAGGTTCAGGGGGTGTGGTTCTTGCGCCTATTTTAAACTTAAAAAAGACCTGGCTGGTAACCTATCTTTTTTCAGTCCCATAAGGAAATTCTAACTGGATAAATTAAAAATTCACTCCATCAGGGGGTGTGGTTCTCGGCGCCTAAATTAAGCTTAATGAAGACTAAACCATATAATCTATCTTTTTTCTATCTGAATTAGATGAACGGTTCAGGATATTAAAAACTGTGAAACAAAATCTTTAGGGGGTGTGCCCAGAAGCATGCTATTTAATTTTACGGATGTTTCTAATCCGATTTATACTTTGTCAGTACAATTAAATGCTATGCCATGAATTTATGAAACTTAATTTAGCGGCCAAGAACCACACCCATTGAGGGTGTGGTTTTAAATTTCGAATATTTCATTGGGGTTCTTTTGGTTTTTAAATTTCGAGCGTTTTGGCATCACTAGCCTCATCTGCCAAAAACTTTCATGTTACAGCTCATAGTATGATTTGCATAATTAATAAAAACTCTGTATAATTTTGGAATTGCAGTTAGGTCTTTTTCCCCGTTTTTCTTGTGCACTTAGGTGGATTTAGAATTAACTATTGACTGCACTTAGGTGGATTTAGAATTAACTACTGACTGCACATAGGTGGATTTCGAATTAAGAAGGGAATGCACTTACGTGGTTTTAGAGTTAGTCCGACGATATGTGTATAATATTATGCTATATGGATATGGATATGTGTTATGCTATATGGTTATGGATATGTGTTATGCTATATGGATATGGATATGTGTATAATATTATGCTATATGGATATGTTTAACCAAAAAAAATAAAAAAATAAAAAAAAATTGTATATATGTATGTTATCACGCGGTCTCTGCATAGTACTTGCTCATGAAAACACCACGTGGTCTCTGCATGCCTCATTTTGGTCCATCCACTACCCCTTAGGGGCTATTTTTAGATCATCTTCGTGTTCTAAAAATAGTGGGGTCTGTTTATAGCCTATTAATACTACTTGCATGTTACGAGTCCGTTCTTGACTTTGGTTCATTAATCGCAAATGATGCTCACAATGCGATGGTGTGAAGTGTAACCCTCCGATTTGGTTGAAATTTTGAAATAATGTGATCCTTATCAATACAAACAATGCTTCTTCAGACAGTTTGTGCGATGGTCAGAATGTATTAAAATATTTGAGGTCAAGTTTGAAAAACGGGCGAATTTTACCAGGCGTAGGAAGCAAACTCGACCTCCATTCTCTTGCCGTGCTAAAAATTGCAAATTTTTTCAACTTTAACCTCAAATATTTTGTTAAATTCTGACCAAACTGCTCGAAGAAACGTTGTTTGTCTTGACATGGACCAAATAATTTCCAAATTTCAACCAAATCGGAGGGTTACACTTCACACCATCGCATTGTCAGTGTAGTGATACTGACAAAACCAATTTACCTTCTCGCTGTATTTGCATGCAGATCAGCTTAAATAATATATTTTAAAACAATGTTATGTCAATCAATCATCCGCTAATCAACCTTTCAGATGTTTTACTGCTTATTAATTTTGAACGAACTGTGATACGTACATGTGTGTAATGGGTTAACACATCTTATTACCATCATATTTATTAATGCGTTTTCTTCACTCTATACATACATCAATTTCATACGATTTAGAATTGAGCATTTGACAATTTTTAGAGTTTTTTTCATATTTCAGGCAAAACTTCTGTAAAATTTTATCCACCCGAGGCCGTTAGAAAAACGGTCAACACAACCTTTCCTTACAAGTAATTTTTCTACAAACAATTGTTAATTTTAGAAAGGCAAAAACTATTCGAATCTTGACCAGGTACCATGCACACTTAACATGCTGGAGTATAATCAACGCCACCTTTCCACTTAACACACTCTCAAATAGTAAATCTAGATAGAAAAAACGAAAAAAATAAAATAAATTCAAATTTTACGTCTACATTTACACTAATAATTTACCCGCGCTTTTTGTAAGATTTCCCTTTTCCAGAACGACCACTTGTTTTAGCCCAACTTTCGTCTGTCTGTGGCGGATTAGGACAAAAAATAAGAAAAAGCTGTGACAGATGGCGACATTATTGAGAATTAGTGAAACATAAGTTTCGTCCCGGCCTGGACTGAGGTTAACCATGTCAAGGACCTCGCTAATTAGTGGGAGGCAAAACTGGAAACCAAACAGGACGAGGAGAAGCTTGATGTAGAGGCGAAGTCTGTCAGAGCGGGAAGTACAAAAAGATTTAAACAAAATTAACCACAAATTAAACTACATACAGTATGTAACAAAAGTCTAGCTACAATTTTTTTCCGAAGTTAAAATCTCATTTTCTAAAGAACAGATGCATATTCCAAAATTATTATTATAACATTTGCAAACAATCTATCGTATAACATTGTGGTAAACGTTCGAAAGAATTTAGATAAAATTGTGCAATCCATACATAAATATTTGGATCTCCAAAAACTGCTAATTCGAGTTTTATAAAACAAATCGTAGCTAAATTTACACCCCTCTCTCGTGTTCCATAATTTATGAACAACCCCTAATTTCATACCTACTGCTGCCATCCCGCTTACAGATTACGTTTTCCTGCGCAAATTCTCCCTCCTTTTGCATCACTTTCGACTTCCGGTAGCAGCAAAGGACAAAAAACAGGTTGCAGGCGAAGAGAAGTATGGAACGGGTGTTGTGTAAGATTGTAAATGTCGATTCGTTCCGTTCAAGTCCGTTGCAATCGTACCCCCTGCAGGATAAGAGGGGAACGTCCAGGTATTACGTTATCAAAAATTTTGCCGCTTATCAGGAATTGGATAGGGAAGGGGTGGGTAGGTGGTCTAAAAATTTGTATTTTTTGACAACGTAATACATGCATATATTTATGGACGTCCCGTAATGTTTTTAAATTCTATAACTTCTCCGGAACTTTTGCCGTCATTTAAGAACGTTGATCTCCAAAAAAATTAAGCCAAAAATTAGGAATCACGTGGACCCACCTGTTCCGTTGAATGGCCCCTTAGAAGAAAAATATTTACAGCAAAGTTCACACGTTTCCGCGGGATAAAGCGGGAAAATATTTACTAAAAAGTTAAACCAATATTTTTTCTTCCAATGGGAAATTTAGTGGAACGATACAATTTGATTTCTACTTTTTTGCATGATTTTTCGCTCGAGAATTTCGGTGTATGGATGTATGAAGCTATCCAAGAGGTAGCATTGTTAGGTTTTTGCAACACTACACAGTTTGCATACTCACCATAGCAAAATTTGTAGCATGAATTTCGCACAGGTGAACACGGCTGGCGATAGAAGGGCGAAAGCGAAATATTTGCCAAATTTGGATTTTCCATTTTTCGGGAGTGTGATCCCTCTACCGAACGCTTTCCACAAGTGGAACACCAAAACAGTTAGCCAGACGTGTCGTGAGAGGGAGGTGTAATCGGAAAGTGCGTCTACATTAAAGAACAATGGTAACGCAAGCTATGTATGTTCGGCTCACAATGAAACTTTTTTTCAAGCTAAACCAGGATTGTGTAGCGAGTAATAGCAAAAAACTAAGCCAAAAATTAGGAGTCACGTGACACTCATACACTCTTAGAAATGGGGTTATCATTATAGCCAAAACGTAAACGTAATTGACTCTACCGCCGTGGTTACAAATTTGTCATCGAATGGTTACACACAATTGCCACCGACTAATAAAAAAGTTTCACCGACTAGGTATTAAATGGTCACTGGAGTTAACAAATTTACAATTAGTAGGTGGTAAATTTATAACCACGGCGGTAGAGCCATATGCCGTTACTTTATGGTTATAATCGTAACCCTATTTCTAAGAGTGTACATATTTCCGTAGAAGAATGGCCCCTTTGAAGAAAAATATTAGCGGGCAAAATCACTCGCTCGGCTTGTTGGAGGACGATGCGAGAGAAAATTAACTCAAGAACGTAACTTTGCCGCCAGTATTTTTATTCAAAGGGGCCATTCAACGGAAATGTGTCATGTGATTCCTAATTTTTTACTTCATTTTTAAATATAACTCGCTATAAAATCACGGTCTCGCTATAAATATTACCAATTTTTGCACAATGCTCCAAATACTTGACGTTATATGTGCTATTTCTTGCCCCACTTTTCACTAAAAAGATGAGCTGGATAAGTTTCCCAGTCCTGTAGCCAGCTTCGGAAAGGACGTAGCACAACTGGAGGTGGCCGTGGAGGGAGTGGCGCTCCCACAGAAGGAGATACGTAATTGCGATAATGGTCCCAAAGACGACCTGGACGCTGGAATTGACGACGAGGAGGAGAAAATACAGGTCGCCTCGTTTCGCGATACTCTGTCGGGAAGAAGGCAAAAAATTTATTGAATAGGTTTCCATAAAAATTATTTAATAAATTTTTTGGGAATAATTTGAAATTTTCGGATAATTTTAAGTTATTTCTGGAGGCAAAGAATGCGGAAGCGAGAATTTTGATTTTTTTTAAAGTAATTCACTCATCATTATTTCGTTGGAGGGACCGTCCATAAATTACGTAATGGAAAAATCGCGATTTTCTGTAATATGTGGAACATTTATATCATTGAAACCATAGACCCGGCTGACGTAATTTATGAACGGCTCCTAACCTGGGAATTATCAAAAATTATCATTCCTTCATATTATCTATGTAAGGCTAAATAGGTAATTATCGTGGTTTCGTGAAGCGAGATCGCATTGTGAGTAATGAAGGAACGTTCATATATTACGTCGTCATTTTAGTGGGTGGTTTAGGTCTTCCTATCTTCCCCATGTTAAAATTCATTATCTCTTCATGTTACCGCTGGGTGGACAAAATCAATAATTTTTGATAACGTAATCTATGGATGGCCCAATTATTTAGCTTGATAATGAAATATCCCATAGTTTCCAAACTGACTTTGCAAATTGTGATAATCACTGCGAACTTCCAGTGTTCATGATTTACTGATTCTTACCCGATAATATTTGAATGTCCCGTTTTCCCTCAATTTTGGATTGTTGTACAGTAAAGGAAAAAATTCCGGGTACAACTCGTCCATTTTTACCGAAAAGATGCCCTCTTCCTTCGAATTATTTATGCACTGGAGGTAAAAAACAATTGCACTCAGGGGCATAACGTCGTAAAATGTCGCGTTGTACACGAGATAAGGGATGAGTTCGTTGAAATTTGAAAAATTCGCGTGATTTCCCGTCTTGTTAAAGAATTTCGTAAGTCTTCCGTAAACCCGCAAAAATTCGGGGTAGTCCAAATTTTCCCCGGTCTGGTTACTTTTCTCGGTTTCAGACTGCACAAAAGAGTTCAAATCGCATCTAGGCACGATTGGAGTGTTGTTATCCGTGTCGAAAATCCAGAATGGAATGGATAAAATGAGTAATGAGGAAGCGAAGATTGACACTAAAATTAAGGGTTTTTTAACTTTCATCGTTTTTTAGTGTGTAAATAAATACTTCTGTTACAAATATTTGGTTGGAATTGACTAATTTCCTCGTAAATGGTGGCTGGTACTGGTATTTAAGAGGCTAATTATTAATTACGTAATTATGCAGTAAAATTAAAATAAGTAACATTTACTCAACGTTGAGTAAAAAAAGAGGGAGACACAACCAAATGATGCAACTTATTCACAAATTTTGAACAAGTTTATAAAAATTTTGCACAAAATAAATTAAATATTTGACATCTTCTTCTTTACGTAATCTTTACTTCAATGTGTAAATATGTAAAATACTTAGGTGCTTATTTGGACGATTTTAAAAACCTGGAAGAACTTGGGTAAAGTTAAATATTAATATAAAACGTTGAACTGACCGAGCAGAATTAATTTGCATTGAACATATATAAAAAATTGACACGTTTGTACTCGAGTTGAGACCGAGGTTGTTTAACCTTTTGCGTAATTAATCAAATTATGTTTATTATTTATGTCCACACTGGGTGCAGAGATAGGGAGAATTTAAAACAGTGTGGAGAGAACGTGAAGAAACCTTATATGCAAATATGTACCTTGGGATTGGCCATTTTCTGCGAATGTGCTCATATTAGTGATGATTAGAGGTCGGACATGTATTCAATATTGGCAAATAAATACGAAAAAAATTGACGAAGAAATCCTTGCATTTTTAAAGTAATGATCTGGTTTTTACTGATCCATGACCAAAAAATTTTGAATTTACACCTATGAAGTAATTACGAAATGTTTTTCCAAAAATAAGTAAAGGATTTATGTATTTCTTAAATAATACGGGACTTATCTTCATATGTCCGAAAACCTAGAAATATTAACACTCATAACTATATTTACAAACAGAATTTTTGTCATGTATAAAACCCAGCCAAGAAAAATTTGACGGCCCATCAGCCTCAAATAATAAAATGAATATATAACCGCTCTCTGCTGATTATGTATGACCAGCTTAAAGTTACCCCGATGCAAATAATTATTAACACATGAACGTTATAACTTCTTTGTAAATCCTAGTCTGAGTAATGAATTCATGCGGTAATGAAAATTTACCACGCAGAAACAAACTTACTTATTCCAAACCGGTAGGAATTTATTACCAAATCAATACCAGTACCGAGTATACAGGGTGGTTTAAATGTCATACTACCATGGAAAATTTTTCCATGGGAAAAATTGGTAAATTTCCATTACCTACCGAAATTATGTCTTTGAAATTCAATATTTTAAGAATTTTTTCATCAGTGTTCCGTGAGTTTTGATAAAAATCTCAATCCCAAATCGTGTAACTAACGGAAATTTAGAGGTTTTTAAACAGTGTAGAAGGTCGATTTTGCTAAATCATGTCGCCACAAATAATATTTTTTGCAGTTGTGACCATATCATCGTATTTTTTGGCTAGTGTAATATTTGTGGTGCCCATGGTGTCCATAAATTTCTGGAAATTGCCCGAAATAAATTACTCGTGCGACTGGAACGAGAGGATGGAAGAATATCTAAAAACTAGAAGTCCCACCGTCGCCGAGGTTATGGTTTATTGGGCGAATGAAACAGGATATTTTGAATCAAGAAATCTCAAATTTTCAAAAAATTACACTTTGGACTACAACGATTTGATGAATTATTGGGATTCGTTACCAAATATTGAGGTGGATGGAGTTCCCGAGGTTATTTTTGGGTTAAAGGTGGGATGCGTTAGTAACAAGTCAGCACCAAGGTTTTTTTCTGAAAGTCTTCTGAAGTTTCCGAGAATGCGGGGCTCGTTAGTGGAATCCTTCTTAACAAGTGGATTTGTAAGGATTTTAATGTATTTAGAAGTAAATAGATAACTCATCGCTATAGAATTGAATAGTCAAAACTATTTAGATCGTCTTTAATAATTTTTGACTCTGGGAATTCATTTCAAAATTCTGAACGACTTGGAAATTTGATAATTACATAATTATTCCATATAAGAATGGCGGGGTTTAAATAATTATGTTTAAAAGAGTTCTAATGTTTCTGAAGGCTTCCACACTTGAGATTTCCTCCTTCAAAAGTTTCAAAATCTGGAATGGATATTTTTTAACACTTTTTAAGATTTTTTAAAATAAGTTCCCAGACTGGAGGGATTTTGACCATGAGTAATCGAGTCCAAAATAAATATGTTAGACTTGCAATAAATTTTTAAAACGACAAACTAACAATGGAGAGGTGTCAGGTGGTTATCGCCAATGTGGACCGGACTAATTTTAAATTGTTCAGGCCCAGAAATAAGCCCACCCGTATTTCTTCGTTTTCCTGAATGGGCATATTTACGCCCGTGGCGGAATTTTCAAAAAAAATTTCAGCCAAAATCCTGATTTTTAAAAACGCTGTAACTTTTCGAATTTTAGCCCGATTTCAAAAATTGAATACAATTTGTGTTCAGAATTACTTCCCTGAAAATATAAAATTTCATTTTCAAAATTTTTTTTAATTTAATATTTTCATGCCATTTCTGAGCTTTTAGAAATGAAAAAAAAACGATAATTTTTTTAAAATTAAAAAATTTTTGAAAATGAAATTTTATATTTTCAGGGAAGTAATTCTGAACCCAAATTGTATTCAATTTTTGAAATCGGGCTAAAATTCGAAAAGTTACAGCGTTTTTAAAAATCAGGATTTTGGCTGAAATTTTTTTTGAAAATTCCGCCACGGGCGTAAACATGCCCATTCAGGAAAACGAAAAAATACGGGTCCACTTATTTTTTAGCGTCAACAATTTAAAATTAGTCCGGTGGTTATCGGCGATAACCACCTCACACCTCCTCATTGTAAGTTTTTTTTAAATTTCCAGACGAGCTTATGGCCTACACAGTTACAAAATTTTAGCTTCTGCTTGACCCAGTCGGTTTACTTGATTTGTTCATTGGCGGGATTCATCTGTCTGTGTGTCACGTGCGGGGGGATTGATACCGAAATATTTTTTCTGTTAAATTTCGTCGGATTGGAGATGCTCTTAATTTGCGGGGGAATTATTCAATTGATGAATATTGAGCAGGATATTTTTTCCTATGTGATTTATTTCGATAAGAACTATTTACAATATTGTCCCGCTTTAGGTAATGTGAAATGGTTTTGTGTCGATTTGCATAATGGTGTTTTGCATAACGGTCATATTGCATAAACCTTATGGAATAAGCCCAAAGTTAGAAGATTATGTAAATACTAAATGCAAAAACAGGCGAAATTGCTGTTTTGCATAATTTGAAATTATATTTACAAGTTCCCTTTATGCAGTATTGGTGTTATGCTAAAAATAAATTATGCAAGTCAACACCTTATTGCGAATCATTTTCTAGAAATTTGTCATGTTTTTGTTTATGAATAGATGCATTTTACACATTTGTCCCAACATCACAAGCTTTGCTGGTATCAGTGTTAATTTTGAATAGGTTAATTGATTTAAAATTAAAGCATAATTTAGAACTAATTTATTTAATTCGAAATTTGTTAATAATATTTCCAGGAAACGTATCGTGGAGAGTTCGAAACTTCAAATATCATTGTATTCGATAATATGCATCATTTTTCCGGCAGGGTATCTCAGTTTTTGCTATTTTTTGTCAGCAGATTTTCGGTAATTGTGGAAATATACAAATCCAATTTTTTTAGAGAGTTAAAATAAACCAGTTATGCAAATTGATTTTTTTAACTTATGTATTTAGAAGTTACCAATGCAAACCCAGTCTCGATTTTGATGACTACCCGCCATTTTGGGAGGCGTGGGTCTCACTTATCCATAAAAACGGAGTTCTACTCATATTGATCGGGGTTAATTTACTGATCGGTTTTTCCAGTGGGTTCGACTTCCAGAATGGGGTTGAAAATGGGTAAATTTTCAAATATACTCTCCACCTAGGCAAGTTTGAACTTTCACAAAAATTGAGAATTCTGAAAAAACTTAACTGTGAGTTTCAGAAGAATTTTGCTTATACTAAGGGGGAAATGAGAGATTGACAGTGTTGTAGTTTCTTAGAATTATCAATTTCTGTAAAAGTTCAAACTTTCTTAGATGTTTGAGATTACACTCTTTTTAAGAAATCTGATATTAAAATAATACCAAGCGGTATTTATATATGTTTGAAGTTATCAAAGTGAAAGAGATAAATATTTAAATACCATGTGATGATAGCTTTGGTATTAAAGCTTTGCCACGTTTGTACCAAATTTTTACGGACGCGTAGACATAATTTTAATACCAAGTGGTAATAAATAATTTTAATACGGGGAGATCAATATCTGCATGACTGAACATGATTTTTAACAGTGTATGAATATGAAAATTACATACATATGTCTCCTAAATTTTTAGGGTGCGTCGTTGGTCGGTGCAGTTTAAACTGTTGCTCCTCGTGTATGGGATTTCCGCATGGTTACAAATCCTCGAAATTTTGCTTTACTTGGTGGTCGATAAGTACAGCGCGATCGTAATTTGCAGGATATGCAATTTTAAAAGTGGTTTCATTTTATTCCTTCTCGTGAGAGCAGATCGGACTAAAGATGGTGCTCCGAAGACGATACAGTGCTATCAGGAACGATTGGTGGAATTGACAGGTATGTACATAAATTAGTGGGGTTCTTACCATTAGCTCGAGCCAGGGGTAGTGGTATCAATGGTCCGGTTCGGTCTGGTTCTTGGAACCGAACCGGTAAGGAACCGGAACCGAACCGGTAAGGAACCGGAACCGAACCGGTAAGGAACCGGAACCGAACCGGTAAGGAACCGGAACCGAACCGGTAAGGAACCGGAACCGAACCGGTAAGGAACCGGAACCGAACCGGTAAGGAACCGGAACCGAACCGGTAAGGAACCGGAACCGAACCGGTAAGGAACCGGAACCGGAACCGAACCGGCTGTGTCGGCCTAACCAGCAGTGTTATGATAAAATGGAATAGCTGCATTAAAAACAATATTAGATACATGGGGCAACCATGGACATATAACTTATAACTTAAAATTATGACGTATAACTTAACTTATAATTATAAATATACGTCTCCTTAGGGCGTTTCTATGACTTATAACTTATAAAATAAGTTATACGTCATAATTTTAAGTTATCAGTTATATGTCCATGGCTGCCCCATGTATGTATTACCTGACGTATTTGTGCTGAGTAGTGTTTATCTTATGTATTGCAAGTTTATAAACAAGTCCGCAAGCTGTGTTAAAAAGTTCGGTCCACCCGGTTCAGTTTCTAGAACCGGAACCGAACCGAACCGGTAATAAAAGTTCGGTTCGGTTCCAGTTCGGTTCCCCGTATAGAAGTACCGGTTCCGGTTCGATTTCGTCATAACCGAGAACCGTTGAGACCACTAGCCAGGGGTTAGGGAACATCCATAAATTATATCTTTAATTTAATTTATTTTTAAAAAACACTTTTAAGGTGAATTTAAAACCCGAATTTCTTCGAAAGGATCCACCTTCTCGCTGCATATGCAGATTAGCTGGAATATTTTGAAACTTTTATTCGCCATACTTCTCAGGCTGATGGGCAAGTGCGGTGGAAATAAAAATAAAGAAATTGAAGACGGGACAACATATCAAGGAGAAAGTACATCTCTGTAAATAAGGAGAATTTTTACCAAAAATATGTGTTTATTGAATTACGTCTTGATTGTAACTTAATAAATGTGGACATAGAATTAGCGTCCCTTGGGGGCCTTATTATTATGTTAATTGAATTTAAGTCGCCGATGAATTTATAGAGGGTTATTGACTTGATAATAATTATTTTAATTGATAATGGTAGTTAAATTGGCATTGCTAGAGAGCTGTATAAAATTCAAGCATATTTAACTTATGTAGGATTCGATAAGCTATTGCCAAAATAGTCAAAATCAACACATTTTTAGTCATTTCTGTTAATTAATTTTACAAATCTGGCCACAAATTGGAAGAACAGGTCGTTGCCATTTTTTTAAACATGCTTTGAATATTTTTTAATGCATTTTAATGCATTTTTTTGCTCAAAACAGACCGAACCAATTATACCTATTGATATCAGCGATGAAATATTTTTATGAAAAACTTGAAACATGTTACATGGATATAGTTCCTTAAATTTTTACAAATGTTTTTATTGAAAAAATTTAACTTTTTCTCATTTGTAGACTCATTCCCTGTGTACACGCGCTTCTCCAATTTGCTTAATCTCGCTGATAACGCCATTAATTACTCTTTCTAATTCACCTGTGTCAGGAAAGATGGCCTTATCAGCGGTTATTGCAATCCCCATTTTTCCATTGTAGCTAATATTCACCATTGCGATTAAGCATGATCTCTGCGCCACACCAGTAATTGGCGCGGCACGCTCCACCGGATTTCCAAACAACTCGTACCGATTATCCTTAAAAGTTGCAAAGTTTGAATGAACCAGAGTTCCAAAGCTCGGAATTCTTAACTCTGTTTGTAACGTGCCGCTAATTAGTGCGATTGATCTGTAAAATGCGGTCATGCCTAGGAGATAAGTGGAGTTCGAAATGTGATGAAATTGGTCCGAAATGTTAACCAATCTTTGTTCCAGGTTCCTCTCCGACACCGGCATTCTCAGGGGGGCTCCGGTTCTAAAACAAATGATAATAATAAGTGTTACTTCATAAGTGCAATTGTAATTTGCTAAATTATAAATTTCTTGGAGAAACAATAAGAGATTTCAACAGTAACAATTGCAATAATTTGATTAATTATCAAGAACTTATTATTGGTATTTTATAATTAGACCTTTTTTGTGTTAGCGACACATACAAAAGGTGTAATATTATTGCAGAGACTATAGCATTTTTCAAATTTCTATCTCCCGAATTAATTTGAAACTCCGGAGGGAGGCAACATGAAAAATGTTCGGAAAACTATTCCAAAATAAAATATGCAAATTTTGGTCAAATTCGTGATCCATATTCATTGGGACGCAAATTTGAAAAACACTAACAATGGAGGCGCAAACCATGTTCAGCGGAGATAATTTTTTGACCATGTTAATTTGGAAGAGCAAGTCTTTAGAAACAACATTTGGCTTGCCACTTGCGCAGATGCGCAAAATTCGGCACGTTATAGGCGCCGCAAGTCCGCAAAAACGCATGATTTTTCATGCACGGTCGTACGCGAGCTCAGCTTTTTGCCGTCTCTGTCGCTCACTCTCTCGCTCCGACGCGAGGGCATTGACCCGCAACCCTTCATCCGAATTTTTCATCAATAATTCCGAATTGTTATATCTTTAACTATAAATTTTGGAATTAACTTCCCCCAATTTCGTAATGTTATAAAAGAATTTTCTCTTAATAGAAAGCATCAACACTCTCTCAGTTGTCAAATAATTTGTATACCTTGTTCAGAAACTTTTGACTGTGAAGATACAGACCCGATGCAAAGCAGAGGAATAACAAACTGCAGAAATTCTTGTCCAAAAATCTTATAAAATTACGAAGTTACAGGTGAATTAATTCCAAAATTTATAGTTAAAAATATAACAATTCGGAATTATTGGTGAAAAATGGGGATGAGGAAGGATTCAATATCCTCTCGTCGGAGCGAGAGAGTGAGCGACAGAGACGGCAAAAAGCTGAGCTCGCGTACGACCGTGCATGAAAAATCATGCGTTTTTGCGAACTTGCGGCGCCTATAACGTGCCGAATTTTGCGCATCTGCTCAAGTGCCAAGCCAAATGTTGTTTCTAAAGACTTGCTCTTCCAAACTAACATGGTCAAAACATTATCTGGGCTGAACATGGTTTGCGCCTCCATTGTAAGTTTTCTTAATATTTGTCCTCACAAATTATTCGTCAAGGACGTTCCCTGGTGGCCTAAAACACTAGGCAGAATATAAATCGATGTCGCATCTTGCCCCAAATTTGCTCCTCTTTCCATCAAAATTCTCCGCACCGCGCCGGTCACACCGAAAAACATGGCCGACGTGATATTTGTCCGAGCAGCGCGGGAAATCCGCTTAAGGTCTGCCATATCTAGGGCGACAAGATTTTGACACCGGACCATTTCTCCAGTCCCCCGGTGAATTGTTAATGGATTCGAGTCAATGCCTTTCAGCATAGTGAATATTGTTTCCGTCGGAGTTATGAATATCAATTCGAAGATTTTCCAAATATCCCATTTCGAATTTTTAGGGGTTCCTCCATTTTTTATAATCCTCTCCTCTCCGGAACCATTCTTGTCGAAAAGATCGTTCCACAATGAAAGCAATGCCAAACCGTCGGCAACTGTGTGATGAATTCGCAGAACTAGTGCAGATTTTGTGGCATATTTAGTGTTTGAATAATTTGGCAAGGATATGCACTCCCATAACGGGGCGCCTTTTGAGAAGGGTTTTTCAGGCAGAGAATCCAAATACTGTTGGATTTTTTCGGGGTTGGATTCCTTATAAATTGTGAGGTGCTGGGATAGTTTGAAATTTGGGGATTTCTTCCAAAATAGGATGGACATCCAAGAGTGGAGCGTGCATGTTAGTTCCGGATGCTCAAAGGAGAATTGTGATAAAATTAATCTATATTATAAGCTGGAAATGTCTGTCGGCAACGGAAGTGTTCCGCAACGGAAGTGAAAGTAAAGAAAGTCAAGTTTAGAATGGCGCGAATTTTAAAATGAAATTAAAAAATAATAATAAAAGTCTGATTACATGTAGTTATCTTTGGATGGTTGTTTAACGGTGGTTATCTACTCCCAGATAAACACCATGAAATATGAGATATGCAAATGTTCAACATATTTGGAATATTCAGAATCTGTTAAATATTAAAACATGATTTTCTATACTTTCCCTTCCTCCGCGGAACATTTGCTTTCACTTCCGTTGTCAACAGACATTTCCAGCCTATAATGTACGCCCGGCTGATGACGGGCTTATACGCTTGTTTAATCATGTTTGAAGTCACTAAATAAATTACGTACAATTTGTACAACCCTTTCCAGCCTGCGAGTTACTTGACTTATTTCGGGTCCGTGCTTCAAATAATTTACGATACTAAGGGTGCAAATAGGTTTTCTGTAAATGTCGTCCCAAGCAAGCCCACTGCTGCAGATGTTGAGGGGGAGATAAATATCTTTTTTGTACGAGGCCAGAAATATGATCAATTTCCGGTATAAAATTAGAGGGAATATTACGAAAAACAAAATCAGTGGAATAATGAAAATCACTATAAATATGGACCCCGCCACTAACAAAAAGTTTCTCAATTGTTCACCCATATAGGGTTAATACGTAGGGTGTATGTACATACGGGAAAAAATCTCAACTAATGTGTACACTCTGAGACGTCGAGAACATCTGTGTGTAAGACGTGGGGAAATCCATGGAGTTAATTTTCTTGAGAATAAATTTACTAATTTAAATTCAGTGAATTTTAATTTAATGCATGTGCACAAGTTGTACATGAGTTCAACTATCCAGGTGCATAGCTACATATATATTTGGTGATGATATTGGTTTTTTTCTGGCCATTACATAATTTTATTGTGGGATGGATTTATCCTTATGCATGACAACTTTAACGAGTGATACTTATAAGATAAACGCTTCTTTTGCGTATTACTAAGGGGAGCTTCACAACCTGTCCATATCAGATTTTAATGTTAATATTAATTTAATTTAATTCCTTATTTTAAGATTAATAATAATAATAATTGTCATCTCATCCCGTTTCATTGCTCTCGTGCCAGCCTGGCTCAATTATTATTTCATTGCCAAAGACTTACCTTAAGGTGGTATAGTATGCGGGTTTTGAGTTTGAATTGTTGCTTCTCAACTTTCCCTTCTTCCATGTATTCAAATAGCGATTTTGAAACCTGATCATCTCCATGAGTTTTTTACAATATGAAGATTTTAATCATAAAGATCAGACCAGCGCAACTTTGTAAACCTAAAAATTATCGATTTTTAGGTCCATTAAAATCTTCATATTGTAAAAAACTCACGGAGATGATCAGGTTTCAAAATCGCCATTTGAATATATGGAAGAAGGGAAAGTTGAGACGCAACAATTCAAACTCAAAACCCGCATACTATACCACCTTAACGTAAAAGGGAATTTACTTTGCTCGTGGTCGAATAAATATGTACTTCATTTGTGTATGTGCAAGGCTGATATGTATGCATAAAGTTATTGGCGAGCGAGTGAGCGAGAGAAAAAGTGGTTTTATAGATTGATGCAGAGCTATGAATATTAATGAACCTTAGATGGTTTGTTTGTCGTAAATAGTACACATGGGTAATAAGTTATTACCCACGTGCAACGTAATGAGGGTATCATATTTTTTTTTAGTTACGCAGAATAGTTCGTTTTTTTAATTAAGTAAAATTGTCATAATTTTTAACTACGCAAAGTTATTACTAAAAAGTGAGTTGAATAAATTGCAAATTTGACTGTTTTTATTTTCCGAAACCCAAATTTTATTAATTGTAAAATCCTCAAAAATTACACGAATAATTACAATAAAATTTTATTAATTATAAAAAATGTTACAAATTACATACAGTTTAATAGGAATTACTGATGTGGACTTTGAATTCCTAAATCAGGGGCAAATTGAGTATTCCTAAGACAAATAAAAATTGATTAGAATGAATTACGTTTTACAAACTTTTGAGAAACCTAAATTACGATAAATTGACCGGACACCGAACCAGGGCTTATGAACTGTTCTGTCTGTCCCTCCGTTTGTGTTGTGATCTGTGATATCTCATAAGATATCCAACTTGGAGGATAAAGATGTAACGCAGTGCAGGAAAAGGGGTCTATGGGGTCAAGCAATTTGACCGATGCCCCGTGACCCCTGGGTCAACTTGTTTGACCCCAACTACATATGTCCGAGTGAATATATTAACTGGTGACAAATTCATACATATTTTGGTAGTACAGGTCGACGCGACAAATTTTCCGTCGAAGCGTTGTAACTTTTCTGAGGAGCGGCAACCCAATTTTTCCGAGATCAGATTTACCGACGGCGACTTCTAATAATTTACATATTTGCATATAATCTGACAGTTGGATTGCGAATCATTAAAAAATTTGCATTTACATATACGAAGAATTCCCTGGTTCGGGCTGTGCGAACCTGAAATGATTTTTTGTCTAATGACTTTACTAGTTAATAATTTGATTATTTTTTAATTTAAACAATTTTAAGGTTTCCGAATTTCTTCGAAAGGATCCACCGTCTCGCTGCATATGCAGATTAGCTGGAATATTTTGAAACTTTTGTTCGCCATCCGGTGGGGTGCACATAAAAATAAAGAAATTGAAGACGGGACAATAAATCAAGGAGAAAGTACATTTCTGTAAATAAAGAACATTTTTTACCAAAAAATAAGTGTTTATTGATTTACATGGCTTGATTTTAACGTAATAAATATGGATGGACATCGAATTAGCGTGCCTCGGGACTTTATCATTATTTTAATTGAATTTAAGTTGACTATGAATTTATAGAGAGCTACGTCCGAATTACAGGGTTGGCTTGATTATTTTTATTTTTAATGATTGTTTAAAACGGCTTGGTAGTGAGCTGTATAAAATACATACATATGTATTTAACTGAGGATTCGATAACTTATTACCAAACTCGCAAAAACTCAACACATTTTTAATCATTTCTTGGCTTTGGGAATTTACATATTTTACAATTCTGGACTAGTAATTTACAGTTCACCGCCATTATGCTGGTGAGTTTTTGGCTCTGCTGTAATTTGTCGTTTAGAATTTTAAAATAAATTCCTAGAGTCGAGAAATGTTTAACAAATTTCGGTGATAATCATCGTCATGTCCTACGTTAATTAATTGTGCAGTAATTATTGTTCCTTTCCCCTCCTCCGTTTCCACTCGAGGTCCTGATAGTCCAAAAATACGATCGGAATCCCGGGAAAGTTGGCGTCCATGACGGACTTCATTTTATAAAGGTCGCACCGCGGTGGGGCAAAAGTGCCCGAATTATTGTCCATGTACATCACCTTGCCCCATTCATTAGCACCGGGGGCGGGTTCTATCCAAAATTCGCCGGCGTAACAGACTTCTGGAAGTGCGCCGGCGTGTAAGGCATGTTTCGAACTCATGTCGACGGAAGTGCCGGCTCCGCAACGGGAAAATCGGAGGGATCTGTCCATCAAGACGTAGGTGTAGATTTTTAAGGTTTCGTCAACCGGTGGGGTGGTGGGGGTACCTGTGAAAAACAAATTATTCATTCACAATTCATCCAATTTAAAATTACGAAAAATAATATTAATTTATTTAAAATTTAAAAATGAATATCGTGGCGATTCACGTCAACTTGGTAAGCTTCGCAAACTAGATTCGGTCTATTTTTTGTAAACTCGTCAATTTTCATTTCTAGCTAAACACCTTTTTCTAAGGCGAGACACCAAACGTAACCATGCACCCAAAAAAAAAATACGTGCATAGTTACGGCGAAGCCATAGTATGCAGTTAAGTGCCCACCTCAAAACAGTCAGACAAGATTGTGAGAGAACCATACGTCGTAGATACATGCGGTTTCGACCAATGGGTAGTAAATGCTTTGTAGTATTGCGCATAGATCTCTGGGCTTAATCGGTTCACACCTTCATGGTGTATTTCTCGTTTTAGTGACTTTTTTTTCTGTATCTCGAAATATTCCGCTGAAAGTGAAAAATCGGCAAAGGAAAATCGAAAGAGCTTAAAAAATTGTTAAGATCATTCTTTAGGGTCATGAAAATTGGATGCAAAATGACCAAGTTATGGAGGTTGAAATTTTTAAAATTCAGTTACATCCATAGCAACTTTAGTAAAGAAATTCTTTATAATATAATTCATACTTACACATATTATGTGTAAATGATGGCCCGATGGTCCAGAGGTTGATAATGGTTTCTAATTAAAGAATATAAAGTAAAATTGTAAAAATTTTCATCTGGAAAGGAAGGACCCGAGGGGGTGGCACATACTAATTTTTCAAACTCATCCAATCATGCCGAAATTTGGTGTGGGGATTCCTAGTTGCAACTAATAGAAACATATGAATTGAGATTAAAAACATTTTTACATATCTGGAGTGACCCTGTGAAGCGACCCATACTGATTTTTCAAATTCATTGAATCGAGCTGAAATTTGGCAGAGAAATTTGTAATGGTTCGTGATGGAACAATTTGAATTAAAATCGGAAAATCGCTAAAATTGCTACTAATGTAAAAATGCGAATTTAGTTTTTATTTTAAAAATATTGATATGCATTTATGATAAAATTTCGTGCAAAAAGTGGGATTGGGTGATAATCCCAACCTTCTCCGGACTCGGGCTATATCAAGTCTGAACTGTAGGTTTTTAATGTCGAGTTAAAAAATTGTTCACTTAAAAACCCCAAAATAAATAAATTAAAAAAAATAAAACTAAGGCGAGAGGCGCTATTACAAACACGAAACAAGCCCTCCCACCAACACCCCCGTCTCGCCGTGGCCCCATTAATATTTTTATATCTGGGGGGTGTAACCACAATTTACGATTAAAACCTTTAACTACTAATGTCAACTGCATTTAGGTAAGTTATATCTATAGGTATATTCTTAAAAACCCCGAAAAATTTATGTAAAATGTTTAATCAAATCGACAGAATACATTTGTATAAAAACATTTTTTTAATGAAAGATTTTTGATTAAAGAAAATCTATACCAGAACCAAGGTCCTAAAGTTTCAAATCCACAGGGGTGGGCAAGATACTTGGTCAAGATACAAGATAAAAGATACAAGATACAAGATAGTATCTTTATCTTGTATCTTCGTCGCCTGATCAGAGAAGTATCTTGTATCTTGTATCTTCTATCTTTTAGAAAGTCGAAAGTATCTTGTGTAAGTATCTTATCTAGATATGCATGGCAGAAAAGTATCTTAAGATACTTTTGACAAGATACAAGATACTTTTTCTCAAAATTCCGTCAAATTACGTCAATTTCTTACTAAAGTCAGTCAATTTGACCATGAATTTGTCGTAACCAGAATTTGGTGAATTTTTAGTTTATGTTTTGCCAATTCGTAACAAACTTGTATATATATGCACATATATATATATATGTACATGTGTACTCGTACATACATACTGATACATACGTTGCACATTACATCTACGCTGAACTAATGTATAGATCTTATAGGGTTTAGTTTGAATAAGCAGGGAATATTGTAAAAATAATACCGGCTTCTTAAGAATATACGTATGTTAGGTAGAGTTCTAGTTTTTCGAAATTTAGACCTTTTTCGATGTATAAGCACTGGCAACAAAATTTGTAAAATGATTCTAGAATGATTTTAAATTTTGTACTCACTAGATTTTTTCGGTTAAATGATTAAACATGACTAATTGGGCATGAATACCAAGCTAAAAAAGAAAGTATCTTATCTAGTATAAAAGTATCTTAAGATACATATCTTGTATCTTGACTACTCAATTTTTAGAAAAGTATCTTGTATCTTGTATCTTGTGTACTTAAACAAGATGTATCTTTTATCTTGTATCTTATATCTTGTCTTAGAGAGTATCTTATCTTGTATCTTGTATCTTACGACCAAAGTATCTTGCCCACCCCTGCAAATCCATCGGTATTGTTGAAAAAGTTTGGAATATATATACCCGGACTCTGTTCATCAACAGCCGTACAAAAAAATGAAATATTTACTTCTTAAAACTAGCTTTTAACGTAGACAATCATGTAATTAAATACATTCCAAATCTGCATTCAGAAATTTCGGAATTGAGCTAGCTGCTCTGGTAAACGAGTTGTATGATGCAGGAAAGAATTTCAAAAATAAAATTGTGGTTACACCCCCCATATATAAAAATATTAATGGGGCCACGGCGAGACGGGGGTGTTGGTGGGAGGGCTTGTTTCGTGTTTGTAATAGCGCCTCTCGCCTTAGTTTTATTTTTTTAAATTTATTTATGTGCACTGATTTCGGAAACTCTGCAAAGTTGCGAAGTGCCGATTTTGATTGACGTGAATTATTCACGGTGAATACCCACATTATTCATTACTAATTTTTTTTATTTTGTCGTCTAAATCAACCCATTTTTAACTATCCTTCGCCTCTGGGAATTTATTTTAAAATTCTGGACGACAATTTTATAGCCAGCTAATTGATTAATAGAATAGAGGTTGATTTTTTAAATTAATGATAAGTATTTTGGTTTTGAGGAGTCCCAATATTTCTGAGGGCTTCTTAAACTTGTTATCCCCTCCTTTAAAAGGTGCCAAATCTGGAGATTATATTTCTAAAAAATTGGCAACCTGCCCGAGAAATTCGTCGCCCCGAATTTTAAACTAAATTCCCAGAGCCGGGAAATAGATAAAAATGTGTCGATTTCATGATGAGTTATCAAACCACGTCAAATGAATGAATCTGAACAGCTATTTACCTGCCACGAATTCGTAGCTCGACTTGATCGCGGCGTGCATCGTGGACAAAATTGGGGCCGAAGAATCCGCATATTTTTCCAGCAGGGCGAAAAACGCGGCCGGCGTGCGCTCCAAGAAGCCGTCGACGTTGCCCATGCGCAAATCCCGGGACGAGTAGAGGATGGAATGTTCCGCGGAAATGAGCGACCGGATCGTGCACGCGGACGGGGTGTCCGAATAGATTTTTTGTCCGGGGGGGTAGTCGTGATTCCAGGTGTGTTTTTTCCCCTGGAAGAAGCGGTCAATGTCGAAAAGGCGGAGTTTGAAGTAGTGGAAATTTTGACCGGTGACGAACTGGGTGAGGGTGGGGAGGTGGACGCGGTACGGGATGGGGGTTTCGGGGGCGATGGTGGGGGGAAGGACCCACATTTTGGAGGGGGATGGACGGATGAAGGGAGATGAGCTGAAAATTAGAGGAAAATTGAGTAAGAATAAATATTTGAGTAACATTTTGGAGCTTTTTTATGTTTCTTAATAGTCTGGAAATAATCTGAAAGGTTTTCTGGCCGATTATTTTATATTATTTTTAAGAAACAAATAACCTCTCAGAAATCTTGCCATATTTACATAATATATACATTTTAAATTATAAATATGCATGTACCAAATTTTTATGGACCGGTATAATTTTAATACCAAACGGAGCAACATGACTGACTTAATATACCAGATTTCTAACAATGAATGTTTTACATGCATATACATTTGCATACTTGTGATTAATATTTGGATTTCGCATCATTCGGCTTACTCACGATTCGTGCGTCACGTCAAGACACGTCTTCTATCACATCGCAACTCATGTAGCAGATTTACGAAGATAATAAATTTATAATTTATGTTGTGAGGATATTCGTAAAATTTGACTACGTAAATCTTATAAAGCAAAAACCGAAAATTACATGAATTTAGACAATTTCTCCCGATATTGACGAGTTTGCTAAATAAATTTGCAAAATGAAAACATGCTGCGATAAAAATTCGATAAGTAGTTTTCATACAAAAAATTTCACAACTTTGCAAATTTTAGAAATACAAACTACTCAAATAGTTTTGCTACATACGTTTAATTTTCGAGATACATACGTGAAGATTAACTTGAGCAAGATTAATTCCTGCTTAAATTATATACATGTACGAATTGTTGCCACCGATTTTGACAAAATTTTTAAAAATGTTTGGATTCAAGTAAAAAAAAATACATTACCGGTCTTTTTGTCACGTCACGAACTCCAAAATTATTACGATTCTTGTTTCCAATCCAATCCAATCCACCCACAAGAAAAGTAGTAATTTCTTCCGATAAAACAATAATGAAGAGCCGACTTGCCTAGTAAATGAGGCAGTTTATTACAAAATCTACTACTCTAGTCAGCTGCAAAATAGAAAAAGCCGACTGAGCTGCTTTGCTGCATTAAATCTGCACTTCCTCTACACTCTATAAATGAATGAATGAATGAATGATATACAAGTACGGATGTACGTAGAGAAGTGAAATCACCTGTAACAGTGCTCTACTTTATTAACAGCATGCACACCCATGCATTCTTATATTACATGGGACGGATTGTCATGTTAAAATAAGCAGACAGAAGTTAAACAATATTATTGATAAACAATTCAGTTTACGATATAACCTGCCTTGATAAGAGATTCATGCATATGTAAATACGTATTCGCTTAATTTTACAGCATTGCCAATGCATAGATATATGTAAATATGTATACAAAACTGGGTGGGATATCCTGGCGTCATATGAATATGTAATTTTATCACGAGACATATTATTTATACAAGCATCAATCGTCAATTAAATTTTAATATGTATGCACAACGGGTAGAAGAATGTTGTATTTATGAGTTATGTGCACAGGGCGGATATGTATTTAGGGAAAAATCGCGGAAATATTTAAAGCTTACAAAAAAACACCAAAATACATTTGTAGAAACGAAAAGAAACATCAAAATCAGCATTTTCACAAAATTTTGCAGCTCTTTAAATTTTTTGTTCTGGATTGGATTTGTTGTTGTGCAATTTATTTAAGTAAAACATTTCGTCTCATATTTACAAAATGTAGGTATGTAAATATGAAGCTTGATGTATGTAGTATAATTATGGGTGGGGTGGTGTTCCTGCATGTCATGATGGGTTAATAAGTATGTATGTAAATTCATCAGTGTACACTTAAATATTTATATATGTACGTAGGTGAATTTAATTTAATTGTAGCTTATTTCTTTATTTCAGATCAGGTTTGCGAAGAAGGAGTGAAAACAATTATATAAATTATTGAATTTTGGTTTATTTTTTGGTCAGATCTACTTTTGAGGCCTTGCTCCCTTCATACATACGTGAATTATGTAACTATGTAGATACATACATGTGCAATGTTGTACAGCATGGACTTATGCGCAATGAATAATATCACATTGACACACTGACTTTTACCATGCGGGTTATGATTTGTTTGAAAAAACTGGTTTAAACCTAATTTCAATTTGTTTTAAATTTTTAAATAATTTTTAAATAATTTTTTATAATTACATTTTTAATCTTTAATGGCTCATTCCATTTGTAAGCAACATGTTTGATCGAGCACCAGGAAATACAGGTACTAAACCCTGCTCGCTGGTGGTGGCTGCCTGACCATGTATTTTTCTCGCTTTTGCAAGAGAACACTACACAACTTATTCATAGGCAATGTTGCCGGCCACGTAGGAACACAGAATTATTTACTACTGTCTACAGAAGCAGCCCATGTTAATTTTACCTTTTCGAAAAATCGCCAAAACTCCAAGACGGACAAAAATCGCGTGGGGTTTTAAACTTTTTTGTTTCCTCAGGCCCAAAGGCATCGATTGGCTTATCTCTCAATGAGCGATTCTTGTCCGTCTTCTCGATAATCGAGTTTTTCAATACATTTTAAATTTCTGATTTTTTCGAATTTGTGAATTTTTTAAAATTTTTCCTATCAATGAATGATCAATGAATAAAATCTGCAAATGTAACCTACCCCTTTGAACCAACACTTTGGCGACGAAAGCATTTTCAATGCATTTGGAAATTTTCTTTTGACTGCTATATCTTTGCGAAAAAAATTAATTTTTAAATTTTGATTGTTATGATATGTTTTATTTGATATTATGCATCTATGATAAGATTGTGGACAAGATATCAAATATGGGTGCGACGACGATCGTGTGGGTTCAGATGGAATGAGCCTAATTTTGTTGATTTTATAATCTCAAAAAACTTAAATAAATTTGTCCACATTCTTTCAAAATGGTGAAATGTAAGCATATGTATTTATGTATGCATGCAATTCCTTTGAATTATTGCACCGAATCTACGCAAATGCATACATACATACATACGTTTGATGAAGATATTTAAGTTTATATGTAAATATGCATGCCCTGATCACTAATTCTGTATGCGAAACGTCCATATAATACATATTCCGTCATTAAGAACAACAGAATTTTGAACACTTATTGCACACGTCTTCCTCCCTTATTATACTCGTTTATTGGTTAGGCACATATTAATATATTTCTGATATTTATTTAATTACATATGTAGATAAGAAAATGTTCATTACTAAATGTGTAGCTATGTAAATATACGGGTCCCAGCCGATGTAAAATTGTTGGACGACAGTTAATTAATATAATTTCACTTTGATTAGATTAGTGGAAAATGGCGAGTCATTAATAATGACTCATTACAGAACCTGTAATAAGTATGCACCGGAGTTCAACAAGGTGTGGCAGTCCACTTCACAAGCTCGCTTGGGAAGCTTACAAGAATTCTTGTTATAAAAACATTTTAAAACTCGATTGAAATGGCAGCGCACAAACAAACAGCCCCACCCCCCAATTTACTGGACGCACTTGAGTGTACTATTTGCCTTGACACGCCCGTATCCCCCATCCACGAGTGTGACAATGGCCACATAGTTTGTGGAGTTTGTGCCGAGAGGATGACAGAATGTGGGATGTGTAAAACGAAATTGCAAATATCAAAATTGGCGGAGCGCCTCTCACGACAAGTTAGCAAACTAAATTTTAGTCAAAGTTGGGAAATTATTATCAATAATTTGTCCTCTGTATAGCTCGATCTTAAGACCGCATGTTCTAACGCCACGTCTGGTTGTTTGACCAAAGTTTCGGCGGCTGAAGTAAGGACCCACCAGGTGAAATGCTGCTACAGGTGATTCGAACACGTACATATATAATTATGCTAGATGTGTAGGACCATAAAAAATACTAATTTAGTCAGAGTTTGTTGCAGAGTTGAGTCGGGTCCCCGTTTCTTCGGGTTAATCTTGACCCGATCCGTTTTAATCGGATCGGGCTTTTTTTACTGTCCAAAAAACGAATCGGATCGGATCAGGATTTTTGGAAAAACCAAAAACTGTTCGGATCAAAATGGGTTTTATTTTTACGGATCGGATTTTCAAAATCTATGGGCCGACTCAACTCTGGTTTAATTTTTAGCGCGAATTCGGGCTTATTTTTTATAAAATTTTGACATTTTTTAAACATTTTTATTTATTTGTCATATCGATCTGAAACTAAAAAGGGACACTCCGGGTGAACGGATTTCCTTGAAATTTTGTACATATGCGCTCGAAATATTTGTATAAATGGAAAGGCTAGGTTCGAAGATGAGCAAAGTTAGTACACTATTTGACCAGTAGGGCTAGCATAATGTCAAAATTTTCAAAATTGGTGTGTACTACGTAATCTATATTTCTCACATGGATTGCTAATTTGTACTTTAGATTTTGAAGCGATATTAACAAAAATAATAATAATATGTAGTGATCCCGTTTTCAGAAATTGAAAGCACGAACTAAAACCTTTAAAAGTTAGACACTGTCGTTCATCCAGAAAGTACTGAGCAAGGGAAGGTGAAATGGCCGACCTCTCCATAAGCTATAACATGTAAAGTTTCGAAATTAATTGCACGGTCGTTTCTTGATGGATTTTCAAAATGGCGCCCGTTTTGGAAACCTTGGACCTTGGGGAGAAATATATATTTTCAGATTTTTCAAATTCGGCCCCACCCCCTCGAAATCCAGGTCACAAGGTGAAAAAACAAGTAACACTTCTTTATAGCATTTTAAAATTTTACGACTGGATTCGACGGACCTGGGGGAAAATTCTTGGCGGAAATAGGCAGGTCATCATATTCAGCGGCTAGTGGGCCGCACCCCCTGCTTTGGGGCCATTGTGGGAGTGGTCAAATATCAAATCAACACACTTAATGTAGTAAAAAATTTCTCCCCCACCGTAGTTTCCGAAATTCAACGTCGCCAATACCCGTAATCTTACCAAGGCCCCCTATGTGAACGACATTCCATTGTCGTAGACCCCATGGCGACAGGGGGTGTGGTTGTCGGCGCTTCTGCCAACACCCTACCAATGCACGCCATGCGACATATCATTTTTCTCAGGCCGGTAAGGAGATTTCAGTGGCATATTTCAAATTTTAATATGCCACACCCCCTGTGGGTGTGGCTATCGGTATCCAATAGATAAATTTAAACCTGGTCATGTGACATATCATATTTCTCAGCTCGCCGGGGGGATTTCAGTCACGTAGTTAAAATTTAGTAAACCACACCCATCGTGGGCGTGGTTTTTTTTAACTTTGAATTACGCAACTTTGATCGACCTGAGGAGGTGAGAAAATTTGCAGATCACATGACATAGTTTCGCAAAATCCGCCGGAAGCTAACAACCACACCTATATGGGGCGTGGTTTAGCTTATATTAAGCCTTCCGTCGTGGTCGCTTTGTCGAGCTTAGACAACAGCCATGAGATGACCCATGACCAGGTTTAGTTAGATTCACCGAATACTTATAACCACACCCGCAGGGGGTGTGGCTTTTAAAATTTTAACTACGTCAATGAAATCCACTTTACGTCCTAAGAAGATTGATATGTCGCATGACTAGGTTAAAGTTGATTCACTGCATACCAACGGCCACACCCACAGGGGGTGTGGTTTACTAAATTCTAACTATGTCAGTGAAATCCCCCCGGCGAGCTGAGAAATATGATGTCACATGACCAGGTTTAAATTTATCTATTGGATACCGATAGCCACACCCACAGGGGGTGTGGCATATTAAAGTTTGAAATATGCCACTGAAATCTCCTTACCGGCCTGAGAAAAATGATATGTCGCATGGCGTGCATTGGTAAGGTATTGGCAGAAGCGCCGATAACCACACCCCCTGTCGCCATGGGGTCTACGACAATGGAATGTCGTTCACATAGGGGGCCATGGTAAGATTACGGGTATTGGCGACGTTGAATATCAGAAACTACGGTGGGGGGGAAAGTTTTTACTACATTGAGTGTGTTGATTTGACATTTGACCACCCCCACAATGACTCTAAAGCAGGGGGTGCGGCCTACTAGCCGCTGAATATGATGACC